CTTCCTAAGCTCATATATTTCCTAGGTCAATTGTGCTTGAAATACTGTAATGGCAACAAAAAAAAACCTTGACCAACCTAGTAGGAACTAGGTAGCTTCCTCTTAAGAAGAAATAGGCACACAATCGAACTTGGGTGGTTTAGGGGGACATCCACACCCTCAAAATCAACTGAGCTTGGTCAGTTCTTATAATATAATGGAATTAACTGTGATAATGAATTTAGAATGTGTGCATTCTTTTCACAATGCAAAAAATCTAATGTGGCATAAAGATAAACTTGATTCATTTAAGTTGTGGCATGCTACCATTGTATGTTTGTCGTATAACAATTTTCCACCCACTTGATTGAGTGGAAAGATTTTGCCACCTCGGCGCATTGCCAATGACTACTGCTCAAGGGTGGCAAATTATCAAGTGCCCCAATGATTGGAAAAGGTACTGAACTCACTCGGTTGTAATGGATATATCATATGCATGGCATCGTACTGCGTGCTTAGTATACTTCAAACATTTTGATAACGGTATGGGAAAGCTTTACAGAAAGAGTAAAAGTAATATAAGAAATGTGGTCCATGCACAAAGATACAGAAAGGGAGAGATAAAGCTCCACAGGTTAAAAGAAGTGGACATAAAACCACCTAACCTGGCTAATTAACTAAAGTCTCGACCATCATATTGGAAATTCTAACTTTCAAATCTCTGAACTCAATTCATCGTGACTTAATGAATGCATGTTGTTACACATTATTTGGCTATTGGCATTTGATAATTTTATGATAGCAGTGTCTTTCAGTACTCCAAAATCACTACTTCGTTGTACTTTCATGTAGTAGGCTGCTGTTCTTCAATTTCAAGTGCACTTCCTGTAAATTTAACAAATGAACTCTCTTCCCAGCTAAGGAGGCAAGCACTTGCTTCCTTGCACAGTGGTCTTCAGAATGGCCAAGGCATCCCTATTTCACAAGTTGTGGAGTGGCTTGCTATGGAGGTCAGTATGTTCTCTTCCTTGGATAGAAACTAATTCTGAACTAGCAACATGAAATCCTTATATGCCTTCATTTTCTCTTTCAAGGACGAGGATGTTGAAAGTCTATTAGAATACCATGGTTTTGGATTGAGGCAGTATGAAGAACTGTACCTAGTAAAAGAAGGACCTTTTCTTAACAGTGAAAGTGATTTCCCATCTGGTTGTTCACAGCTTGTGCATTCGAAAAAATCGCAGAGGGTCGTTGATGATGTTTCTTCTGGGCCAGTTTGTGCTCCTATTAGCAAAGAAAAGACTGTCTTTCTATATCCTGGTCAACTCGTTGCTAGCAAAAGAGATCTATTTCTACCACAGAATGCTCCTGTGATTCCTCCTGATGGCAGAAGGGATTTGGATCCATCATTTCCTGGGCTTGTTTCAACCACTCCTGACAGACAGATTAGCTCACTGTTTTCAGATCCTTTCTCTCCAAAAGCTGCCAATAAACTATTTAGTTCAACACATCCAAAGCCTCTCTCCCCAACTGATGGTAGAAAAGACGGGTTTTCATCTTTTCCTACTGCTGCTTCTCCACGTACTGGCAAGAGGGACATACTCTCAAAAACACCAAAAGTAGCTTCACCAAAAGCTGAAGGCAAGACCAAGTTGGCTAATGATCTTATAGCTGAAGACCAGGATAGTGGTGTTGCTGAAATCCCTCAAAAGGCAGAGATGCAAACAGACGTACTGTGGTCACAAGCTAACACACAACACGTCAATGCTCTGGCAGAACCAATTGTTTCGCATCCTCTTGCAGACAGTGTATCTTTAGATTACTCCAATATGTATGGAGCAGAAGATAACTTCAGGGCGCATGTTTCTGGCATCGGTACAGATATGGATGAGGGAACTCCACCAGATCGTGAAGTTCTGGTTATTGAACCTGGGTCACCTATTAGCTCCCCTTTGTCTGATCATGAGGAATATGAGGATCATATAATTAGTAACAGCACAAATGATGATTGGTTACCAATTGTTACACCCCCCAAGAAACTAATTTCTGATGTAAACCTGAAAGCAATACTGAGGTTGTTCTTTTATCCTTGTCTTATCCTTTTATGCTCCCATCAGTAGAACTTTGGTGGTAACTTATAAAAGTTTGATTCCTATTGTGGTGTTTCAGGAAATGGAGGCAGCGTGCTGCAGACAAGCGATTACTTAGGGAGCAGAAGAATGCTCTTGCTGTTGCAGCGTTGTGTTCTCTATCACTTGGCCCACCAGTTCATAAAAGTACAATGGTAAGACAGTTTTTTTTTCCAGTATCAGTAAATTGAGGCATCACTTTTGCAACATAAAGATTTTATTGGATGAAACTGTGTACCCCTATTAATTGATAAATCATTGAACTTTGGTGAAATTTTTGTGTGAAATGATGTTTTAGTATTTTTTTCTAGTATTGTTAAGATGCGATAATGATTGAGTCTTGTGTACTATGAAGGTGCCTAAACTAGCAGTTGAAGAACTAGATATTGGCCATGCCTTTAAAGAAAGACAAGCAAGAAAGCAAAGGTCCTGGTCGCGGCTAAATATTTCCGAGTTGTCTGGTCCCATTCTAAATGCAAATAACCCTGATGCTAGATGCCTCTGCTGGAAGTTGCTTGTACTTGTCCCACCAGGTGCTATGGAATCCCAGAACAACAGTTTTGCCTCAAAATGGTTACTTAGAAAGCTCATGGGAATTGGAGATAGTGGATTGGTTTTTTCTTCAGCAGGCCTATCAATTTGGACAGAGTGGATCAGTTTTCCAAACACATGCTGTTTGTCTGTTGTTAGAGCCAGTGATCAACAAATTATTGATAATGATATTGCTAACAGTACAAGTTGTATAGTATTTGTAGTGTCTGAAAGCATTTCATGGGAAATGCAGAAGGAGCGGTTTAACAGTCTTTTAGCCTACATACCAGATGAATCCAATCTTCCTCTTCTGATTTTGAGTGGCGATACATATAACGAAGGATATGACTACGCGTCAAAGTATATCATGGACAGGCTTGGCCTCAGTGGTCTTAATGGAGGAAAGATCAGTTCGTCTTTGGTTATTTTTCTTGTTGAAAACTACACAGAAGACCATGCCAATGGTTTCTTTGATGATGAAAAACTGCGTGAGGGCCTGAAGTGGCTGATAAGTAGTTTGCCAAGGCAGCCTGATGTCACTCTTGTGAAGACCCATGAGTTGCTTCTGGACTACTTGAATCCGCAACTTGAGCTGCTTAACACCCATGTTGCACCTGGAGCTGGCCCTGGGGATTGCATTTCAGTATTCAACAATGCTGTCAATCAACTTGCAGAAGAGGTTTTGGCTGCGGCACGTGCAAACTCTAGCCAATGGCCAGCTCCTGAGATTGATCTTCTGGAGAGAACAAGCAATGGGAGGATATATGCAGAAATGTTCTTGCCTAGCATTGGATGGTCTTCGCCGTCAAGGACCCAACCACTGCTTGCAGCCATTAATAGTTGCAAGATTCCAGAGTTCAGTTACGATCTATCCTGGCTAAACCATGGTTCTCACATGGGCAAGCAGATCCAAGATCAGAAGAAGTTACTTCAGGAGTGCTTGGCGAGATATTTGACTGAATCAGTCCGGTTGTTAGATGAAACCCAGGTGGTCACCGAAGTGAATATTATGGTGCAGAAATGTGTTGGCCTTGAACTCCGGGATTCGTCTTACTTTCTTGCTCCCAGATGGGTGGCTATCTTCCGGCGTATTTACAACTGGTGGCTAGCAAAGCTTTCTACCGGAGGGTTCTCAGAAGCTTATGTTCTGACTCAGCGCTTCTATCAGGCTCCTACAGCAGCTGGCCCTAATGGTACCACACAAGGGCTTAACAACACCACCAGCGATGATGTGGCCATTTTGGAGGATCACATCATGATGCCTGCTGTTTCAACCGGCATCACACTAGATGAAATCATCGAGATCAGTTGCGATCTCGATGCTGTTGATGTGCAGCCCGTAACTCCTCTGCCACCACGACTGCCTGCACAGGTTCATGAAGAACCTCAGGCACCTACTGACACCAACGGTGTGTCAAACGGGGCGCATGGAGTTGGTGAAATGTACATACCAAGAAGAGTGGAATTGGGTGAGCTGGTGCCACTCGAGGGGGACGACAAGCTTGCCCGGCTACTGGAGCAGTGCACCAAGCTGCAGGACAGGATCGATGAGACACTTTCCATATACTTTTGAACCCCGGGAAGGGTTACATTACACCATCCTTCCACATTTGTTGTAACTTGTAAAATTAGATTTTGTGGAAGAAAAAACTCACACTGCCAAGTTGCGGCATTCTTTTTTGGCAGGAATGAAATATATAGAAGCTAAGGCATCATTTTTTTTCTCGAATCATTTTGTCAGTCAAGCGCGTCAAGAACCTGCGTGCACCAATGTATCTTCTGTCAAGGCTACGGCAGAAGTCAGCTTGGTGATTGTTTCTTGAGTACGTCTGGATCGAGCCACGCTGATGGTATCGTATCAGCTTAGCACATTTTTAGCGGTTTCCGACCGTACGGTCGAGGTAAATAAGAAGAACAGTCTCACCAAATTCAAATTTCAGATGATTACCTACCACGATTACCTCGTGGCAGCCCAAAAATTGCATGAGAAAGGAATAAAGCTAATAACGTGTTTGCATCGATAAGCAACGTTTCTTGATCGTAATCAACTCAACGGGTGCTCTAAAGCAGCCCCAAAACAAACAGAGACCCATATTCGTTTTTGCATCTAAAAAGGCACCCAGCTGATCTGTTCTGCACGGCACTGGCATTTCAATTCTAGATCCTAATTCTGTGGCAGGATGCCATTGCACGATTGCGTCTCAAGCCATACCACGACAGGCATCAACTTAAATTAATTTATATCTTGTGAAAGTTAACAAAGTACAAATGAAACGGAGAATAACTCCATTCCACGGACAGCACTTGTGGTGGCGCCCATCGCTAACCAATCAGCCCATGGTTAGATGATCCCACACAGGATCAGAAACCTTGCATCGTCGGCAGCAGCAGGTGCTCTACCAAAACACGAGCAACAACACGAGATTTGCTGCTGGCAAATATCACATCCATGGCACGGTTAGATCCCTGCAAAAGACAACAGCCTCTCAATAATGGTTCCTCCAAAAATCTGACAGAAAAGATTAGGGTCTCTAGGCAAAGATCTTACGGAGGACGGCGGTGGGTTATTGCGAGGCCTCTCTTTGTCATTCAGCTTACATACTGCAGTAGAATGCACAAACTTGAGTGAGTTTGTTTGCAATTTCTCTTCATCAGCAAAGGATTTAGAAGATTAGCAGATTTACCTCCACTTTCAGCAGGAGGCTGGCGGGATGCTTTGCTGTATAGACCACTCCAGCTCAGTACCCCCATCCATTTGATGCCAAGTTTGTACCGGTTGTGATGCAGCTCGCTGCTCACTTTGCACAGGCTTGGAAGCATCTGATATTCGGCCATGTATCAGCAAAGGGTGCGTAGGGGAAGGAGCAACACATGAGAGGCTTCGTTCTGTTGGAGAGCCAGAAGACGGTGATTGCATTCCGGTAGCAGCAGATCTGTTCATGTGACTTGCTTCTGATTGTACAAATACAGGTATCTCTGACTGTATTGTGTGCACAGCTATTGATGCCCCGACGCTATCGTAGTCCGCTTTGTCACTCCCTGCAGGACCTGACTGAGTAAATTTTGGAAAGACAATAAATTTTCCGCAAGCCACTGAATAAGTTACTCTCTTTATGCTTGCAGAATTTAAAATTTTGGTGCACCTACATTTTCCATGTCTCGGATATGCACGATGATTATTGTTATATCATCTGTCCTGTTTTCGTGCTCCAGCCATAGTTTGTATGACTCTGCAGCAATTGCTGAACAGGCATCTCGAGGATCTTGATACGTAGCAACCTGTAGGAAACGAGAAAGAGCTTAGAATTAGTGACACAGACAAAGCCAAGCAAGAAAAACCACATATTATCATTGGTTCATTACTGAGGAGTTCCAGCAGTAGTGGTAAAATAAGGAAATTTTTTTATTGCTCCAAGAATGGTATAAATAATAGACTCATACCAAAGGACAGAATAATATACATCAAAAGGCATGAGAACGGAAAACAGCTGTTAGCAGCCTGGTTTCATTATAGAAGTATACATCGTTTCAAAACTGTGTGAAATGTTGGGTGGAAAAGTGGAGGTTATGAAGAGGGGACCATCCATGATCCATTGTTAACTACAGATCATGTTTGGCCTAATCAAAATAAAATTGACAAAATGCAGGTACAACCCTAGTAATTCAGCAATCAACAGTCCAATCTGAAATCATATGTCAGTTTTGAGACCAACAAGATGGCCAGCATTCCTTTTTATCAGCAGTACTTTAGGAAAGTTTACTTTGTCCTTGCAGCCATTTACCTAGCTTGTCCTTCCACTTTTCTTCACACTTCGGATTAGTCAATTTTTCCATCACAGCTCAAATGCTAGTCTATTGTTCTACTAGATAAAGTTACCTCCACTTAAGCAGAACTTCATTCACAGAGAGAGTGAGAGAAGGAGGGAGAGCAAGCGAGCTTTCATAATGACAACAACGATCGACCTTGGAACCCTCACTATTCCATAATCATTACACCATCCTGCAGTTTCAACTTTCTGAGAAAAGCAACTCGACTGATGGAGTGCTTTATAGTATGTAATGCAAGGAAGAAAAAGAAGTGTTAAAGTCAAAATGGGAGGTCCTTTTGTACTGTTTCTGTTTGCACTTTGCAGCAAGCTAAAGTTGGGCACTATATACTGTACGTGTAGGTAAACTGTCAAGTCATTAGCGACCACTGAACACCATCTTTATCCTATTCCTAATAGCACACACAAAGCTCATCTGAAATCATTTCGCACTATGCAGAAAGTCAACTTATGATTATCCATACATAGAGGTTCTACTGCTTTCATTCTGGGCAATCAGCTAAGTTTCATAGGAGTACCTCTCGATTATGCAGTGATTCCTTTCACATCAATAGCTTAAAGCTCTATACCAAGGCTGTAGTTGGTTGGATGAAATGCACAAACGTGTGATTACTATAGTCCTTGGAAGTAATCAAGGTAGAATGTAGCAGCTAACTCTCCCACACACTAGACTAACCACATTGTAAGGTTCACAACTAGTCTACTACCTGTCTATTTCGTAGAAAACGATACGCAGACTGGAATTAATTGATCGAAGTGGGTCAAATAAAAAAAGCAAACAAACAGGAAAGAACGAACAGGAAAAGGAAAACAGAGCATAGAATGAAAACCGGTACCCTGTCAACAACTTCCTGGCTGGAGAGGAACTCGAAGACGCCATCGCTGGCGACAACGAAGAAAAGGTGCGATGGAGTGATCTCGACGCTCTTGACCTCCGGCTCGGCGACGACCCCGACGGCCTCGGCGGCGAGGTCCCCGAGGCTGCGGGTGAAGGCGGTGCCGGGGTAGAGGCCGTCGCGCGCCCAGACGCGGGGCGGGTCCCCCTCGTCGGGCGCCCAGCCCTCGGCCTCCGGGTCGCGCATGCCCTCCACCTGCTCGACGGACATGACCCGGGCGCCGCAGGCCTTGACGCGCGCGCGCTCGTCGGCGCGGAACGGGGTCTGGTCCCAGGAGAGGTCCTCGGCGACGACGCGGCCGGCGCGCCAGACCCCGGCGACGGCGCGCGAGTCGCCGACGTTGGCGACGTGGAGCGCGCCGCCGGCGACGAGGGCGGCCACGGCGGTGGTGCCGCTCATGGAGTCGTCGACCCCGGGCGCGGCGTGCATCTCGGCGTTGGCGCCCAGCATGGCCTCGCGGAACGCGGCGGCGGGGTCGGCGGCGCCGGCGCCGGCGAGGGAGAGCGACGCGAGGAGGAGGCGCGGGAGCGCGTCCCGCGCGAACCCGGAGCAGGCGGCACCGGCGGCGCCGTGGCCGTCGAAGACGGCGAAGAGGTGGAGGTTCGGGTCTCCCGCGAAGCGCGTGGTGACGAGGTGTGCGTCCTGGGACTCCCGGGCCGGGGAGTCCGGGTAGAGCCCCGCCACGGCCAGCGCGGCGTACTCCAGCACCAGACCGGCCCCGGGCACCGCGGCGCGGCCGAGCGTGGCGCCGCCGTGGTCGCCGCGCCCGCCGCCGCCGATGGCGGCGGAGGAGCCCCTCCTCGGGTGCCGCGGCAGGCAGCACTTGCCCTGCGCGCACCCCATCGGCGTCGCGTCGTGTGTGGGCTAGGGTTTGGGTTTGGGGTGCGGCCTCTCCTCCTCTCCGCTCTCCACTCTCTGGGTGCGTGATTTTGGGGGGCTCGGGGAGTTAAGAAATCGGAAGGGAAGGAGAAGTGAATGAAGGAGAGAAGAAGGGGAGAGACGGAGACTGGAAAGTGGAATGATTCAAACCCCAACAAGTGCGAGAGGCAAGGCAGGCACACGCCAACGCCAACGCCACGCACTGAAGAGGGGCGACGCCGCGCCGTGGTGCACGGGTAGTTCGCTGGGGGGAGGTGTGCCCCACTGTCCAGTGGCAGCGGAAATAATTCAGTGGGACCCGTTTCAAAAAAAAAAACTCGGTGGGACTGTATTTGCGGGCGGCACTAGGAAACTACTGGATCCGTCCGTTTTTAAGTCTCCCTACAGTATTCGTACGTGGTTAAACTTCTTTTTGACTAAATTATTAATAATATTTATATCTCTAAATAAATTTATTATAAAATAGATTTAATAATCTATCAAACAATATTAATTATATATTATAAATATTAATATTTTTATATATTTAGTTAAAATTGAGTATATTTAACTTTTATAGGAAAGTGAGAACAACAATGGAAAAGGAACAAAGAGAGTATTACATATTTGCTACATGTCTCTATGCATAAGCATACAACATCTGAGATGTAGTTATTTTCTAATCTTTCTCCTAAACTTATACAATAATTGTATATAATATTGGATATTTACTTTTGAATAAGTGTCATAAATTCATGGTAGTTACTTATCCCATGAAAACAGTTCTCACCGATTTTGTGTCGGGAGTGATGATGAGATGGCCATGGGTTAAGTATGGCAATAAAACACGTTAAGGTGTTTTTTTTTTGCTTTTTGTTTTCGTGAAGAAGACGACCACGGATGTCCACTTTTGTTTTAACAATTATTTGAGAGAAGTAACGGCTGTAAAAGTAACGGCCGTAGTCATCATTTAAAAAGATGATGCATATCGTGACCACAAATTTGGGTTTTGCTTCACTTACTTTGTCCCTCTCTGCTTCGCCAAATATACACGATGTGATGGGACTGATAAATCAAGGGGCTCGGCTACAGTCGTGGCAAAGCAGGAAATGGGCACATGATAAAGGAGAGGTCGAGAGGGCAAGTTGAAGAACCATTCAAGTAAAACCGGGTGATCACAAGAAGACAATTATTGTTTCTAAAAGTTCTTTCAATCACAAGCATACATATCTGCTGTCATATCCATAATGTGCCAAATTCATCGGACCATGCTACGGATTAGGGCTCGTTCGGTTATTTTGGAATGAGGTCAAGAATTAATCCGGCTGATCAATTGTTATACAAATTAGATAATCATTCCGGTTGGAAATCGTTCCAGGAATGAACCAAACACGGTTGGTAGGATTCCAACCAAGAGCCAATCCAGCTTATCAAAGATTATATAAATTAGAGAAGCAATCCAACTAAGAATCATTCCAGGGCACCACTCCATGGAACCGAATAGACCCTTTATTAGGAATTGCTTGGATCACCGTCGGATGATTACGAATGTGTTATATTAATGTACAATATGATTTATAATGATCTAGATTATTTGGATCTCTATACTATATGTGTCGGATTATATAACTTATAAGATTTGGTCTTTTCAACATCTGCAACAATGTTCTATAAGTATGTTCACTAAGATGGGTTATAGGACGACAATAAATTTTGGTTACATTTTCATAATCCAACTCGTAACGTAAGCTTCTCTTTTTGATATCCGAGAGATTATTATTGCTCTGATTATTATAATCCAGATGTGATCCAAACACGTCGCTAAACAACCACCACCAAGCAATGAGTTGTCCTCAAATTTGTTCCATGCATGTCAAAGAACATCCAACCATTTGCTTTCTTTGGTTTATGCTTAACAGGATATTATTTCAGCTGCTCTGCATTTACTGAGAGAGGTGAATGTTGGGTTTAATAATCGACAACAACATGGTTTGGTGTTTTGCAGAAACGTAGCGCTCCAACGTTTGTCCGCTCATTTTCCACACCGTCCTTGCCAATCTTGTCTTCTAGGACCGGACGGAGACTTTCCGTCCTCTCTCCCTTGCCAAACCATTACACCAGACAACTGTTACAATTACAACACACACACACACACACACAGAGAGAGAGAGAGAGAGAGAGAGCAAAACGCACAGTTCGTTCTGGAACCTCGAATCTCCACTGAGCCCACGATAGATGAACTGAAAAGGACACGATCCTTTGTCCGGGTTCTGGACGGAGAATGGAGAGCCGGCTGAGACTGAGAGGCTCCACTGGCTACCGTCCAGTTCATCGGAACAAAACAAGGAGAAAGTGACGCTAGGTATTTGAATTTTGGGGGTGTTTCATGTCTGCACGCCTTTCGTTTTAGTATTTGCGAAGTCCGTAGCCTTTTTTAAAGTCAACTTGACTACCTCCGTGTCCTTTCGAAGACGTGGAATTAGTTGCCTATACCCTCCGTCCACTCTCCCGTGGATTATTATTTCTCAGTCTCACGATGACAAGCTAGTCTCGAGAGTTGACAGAAATGGTATTTCCGTTCGGTGTTTTTACACCAAGCAATTCAGCTTTGGACTTCTTGTCTTAAATCCGGTTCGTTCGACTTTTTTTTTTTCACACCAGGAATAATATTTTTCTCTCAACAACAAAAGTTTTTACAACAACTAATCATCGCCCCGTTCGGTCGTTTTTTTCGTCATAAGCTAGTTTTTCTCTAACTTTTAACCTGCTTTAAAAATGTTTAGTCATGTGTATTTTCTTTGTCGAGTTGAATCCGTACGTATATAGCCTTCCGTTGTACGTGTCTAAGGACCTTTGATTTTGCGATATGATCATTCCTTCGAATTATAATCTACGAGTTATAGTGATCGAACATTCAAGCGGATCGATCCAGGCGTAATTTTTTTTGCTCTCATACACGCTCTAGAAAAAGACCAAACCATAATGCCATTTTTAACCGTTTCCGTTATAATACCATAGCATATTCGGTTAATAATCGCCATGTCGAACAAATTTTTTCGATTCTCCGTTTTGCTTAGTGTAAGATGCGTTTCAACCTAACAAAAGTCAAATTTTACAACAACTAATCATCGCCCGTTCGGTCGTTTAATTTTCGTCATAAGCTAGTTAAATTTCTCTAACTTTTAACCTGCTTTAGAAACGAGCTAGCTAGTATGACAAATAAGAGTTTTGTCATACGTGTATTTTTCCAATTTGATCGAGTTGAGCAATGAGCATTACCGTACGTATATAGCCTGGCATCCGGCGTACGTGTCTAAGGACCTTTGATTTTGCGATATGATCATCAGTCCTTCGAATTCCCAGATCGATCTACGAGTATATAGTAATCGAACATTCGAAGCGGATCGATCCAGGCGTCTATGCCCCGATGCGCGCGCGTACTCACGTGTGCACCAAATTTGTGCGAGTGCGACGTGGATTGGGTGCAGCCATATATAATAATACATGCACGCTCTAGAAAAAGACTGTAAAAAGCCATCTCAACAAGTAATTTTGTTGCCAAAGCCCATTCCTACCGTTTCCGTTTATAATACCATAGCATATTCGGTTATATAATCGCCATGTCATGAGATTTTTTTCGATTCTCCGTTTTGCTAGTTCAAAGTTATGAAACATCAGTCATCAGAATTAAATATCCAAACCCTGAATTTATCTGATTCAGCCGGATTAAAAGAAATAGTATGACAACCTTACCAAATGGAAGTTGGAAAGGTTGGGACACAATGAGAAGAAAGAAAGAGCATCAGCACATCCAATGAGGAGGATTTTCTTGGGCAAATCGGGCTGCAACTGCAAGAACGGCACTGCGGAACACATAGAGCCCAAACCTCGATGGACGGGCCCTCGGCACTGTAGGACAGCCAGGCGAGCCTAGCGCGCTGCTTCCTGGCCCAAACAGCCCGCTCGCGCGTGGACGGAACCAACCGCTCCACTCCACTCCCGCAAACTACCGTTGCGGCGCGACCACCGGAGCCCGGCCCGCCCCGCACTCCCGATCGCCGGCGATGGCGAGCCTTCTCCTCCGGTTGCTCCGGCGGGCGCGGGGCTTCAGCTCCTCTGCCACCTCGGCGGCGAAGGAAATGGGCGACGGGAATCTCGTCGCGTCGGTGATGTTCGTGTTTAAAGCGAGTGATCGAGTTGATCGATCTCACAATTTATCAGGTTGAAGCGGCGCCACCAAAGAAGCGGTTCATCGCTGCTTAAACGGGTAGTGATCCCGGTGATGTCGGTTCCGAAAATGGAGTAGTCCGTCATCGAAGATTACAAGAGATTACATCGATCATGGATTTAGACAAAAATCAGGGATCCTTTTCCCTAATGTCTAGTTGGATGGGATCTCTGTAATCCTTTGGTTCTTCTGATGACACAACCTCCCCATCGCATCCGGTCTTGAGATCAAATAATATCTTGCCTCTAAAAACCTTGTAGGAAAAATATGAGGTGCTATATTGTTGATATGTCATTAAACTCCCCAATTTCTATGACATATTTTTAGATTATTGTCCATTGTAAACTTATATGGAAAAAACTTTATAGAAAAATCCATAATTTAGTTTAGAACAATATAATGGTCTATCGGCCATGTCCTCCTCCAAAACCACGTGGAAAATATGAGGAAGAAAATGCCTTTGATATTCCCTTAAAAACCTCTTGTGAGGAAAATAGGAAATTGACATATTATATATTAATATTGCCTCATTAAAAACCTTTTATGAGAAAGTTTTTGTAAAAACTCATAATAGGAAAAGAGTGCAATATACCTCCATTTTTTTCGAGAGATTTCTCCCCCACAATAGGATCGCCAACATATCTGATGAATAAATAAATAATAAAGATTTTATTTCTCCATAAATAAATAAAATGGTTGCATAGCATATTGCTTTTGACAACTGTCCATTTGGCCGAAATATTCATGGGATATCCCA